GACCAGCACCTCACACCCCACAGCCACATCTCCCAGTATAGCCGGTGCTCCCAGTTCAGACCAGTACTTCCCATGCACATGGGTACACCACTCTCTGTTTCTGGCACCCCCAGTTTATCCATCACCAGCCAGCTCAGCCCAGTGCCCCCAGCACGGCCCAGTACCCCCAGTTCAGCTGCACACCCAGTCTGTGTGTGGGACCCCCGGCCCCCAGCCACAGTGGAGCCCTGGTGCAGGGGCTGCAGGAGGCTTGGGCTGCCCCTTCCCATTGCTTTCCATTGGCCTCTTTGGGCTGTTTTTAGGGATTTTGCCAGTTTGGTCATTACGAGCCCAGAACTTCACTAAAAGCCGGCGGCAAAGGGCCGCGAGGGCCTTTGGAGGATGTCCTGGGCTTGGCGTGTAAATCCTCCTGCGTTTGGTTGCAGTATTCGGATATTGGAAGGCTCTGGGATACCCCCGCTCTGGATGTTGCTCCGCAGCCCCCCGGGGGCCGTGGGGCAGAGGCGGGTGGCTGTAGGGAGATGAGCACACGCAGCACGGGGGTAATCGGCAGGACCACTCTCCCTAAGGCCGGCGATAACAATAAAGGCAGAGAAGGTGTCGCCGAGGGGAGCGACTTGTCTGAGGGTGATTAACGAGCAGTGGTGCTATCACAGCGGAGCATCCCTCCTGCACCACTGCTGGGCAGCCACGTTAAAACTTCCCAGTGCGTCTGCTTCAGAGCATAATTTTATTGTGTTTGATAATAAATTACAGACATATTTGCCATTTCCAGCTCTTGGAGGCAGTGGTTTAGTTAAAGCAAACTGTTACGAGTTGGTAGGAAATTAAAGAATAAATTCAGGACTTGGTTCCACTTTTAAGAGTTCCAAAACCTAATATACCCCAAATTTTTCATAATTAGAGCAGACGTATGTGCCACCTTACCCACGGGAATTCCCTCAGAGGGGGAGGCCGTCCCTGGGCAGGGTGCAGACCTGCGTGGAAAGTTGTTCCTGACCCCACAGCGGTGCCGTTCATCTGGTCACTGGAGTCACAGTCAGGGCTAGCAGAATTTGTAATCCTGCTTCTGTAACGAGCAAACAGGCCTGTTGTCACTTCACTTTTAAAATGAGAAATCTGGCAGGCTGCCTTTGGAACAGGATTGAGAAATACCTACGTTAATCCTAAAAATCACCCCGGGGTCACCTTTTCACTTGTTCATAGCAAGTGCTCATGACCTGCACAAGGGTGGTCATTCTGCTGGGGGTTTATGAACCGTGACTATGAGAAGCAGTGGCAAGAGAGGGGGGCAGGCCTGGGAGGGGGGTTCCTAGGGGAAATTCATCATCGGTCCTGTAACCAGGGGAACACTGGTGATCGTGTTGTGCAAGTCCTTGTGTTCCTTAGGCCAGGACCTCCGTGTCTCACTACCCCATGGGCAGCTGGAGCATTGGGATGGAGAAACTAGGCTGAGAGGTCCATGCAAGGACAGAGACCATCCCTCTCCATCTCACATTGCAGCACATGGCTGAGGACACGTTCCTGAGGAGAGTCTGCAGCCATCCCCAGTGCAGCCCTGATTCTGGGCAAGCAATGAGTTCCTTCTAGCACATAACTGTCATCTTTTGGCTGCTCTGGCTTTTGTGATAGTGCAAGAATAACTCTCAGAAAATAAGTTCAAATACCATAAAGATTTCAGCAATGATGAACTGTCCTGCGCAGGCATCACTCTGATCCCCATGTCTACACAGACCTTAATCCTACAGTCACAGAGGATCAATGTTCAGGTTAAACTGTGGGCAGCAAATTAGGAAGGAGTCCTGATGGTCTCCGCATTATCCCTGGGTCTATCTGGGTCACAATCGCTTCCCTCATGCGTTGATTGAGTGACCTCTGATTAAAAGCACTCTCACTGAGGAGAGCTTGGAGTGCAGCCATGCAGCAGGCGATGGAAGAGGCAGCACTCAGGGGAGGAGACAAAAACATTATATAAGTGTATATTTAACAACAACATACTTATTTTCAAAACAATTTTTCTATGGAAATACTGCAAGTTTCTTAAAATGTGTGTAGCAAGGGATGATGAATACAGCCTCTCTTGATACCTCCATCCATTTAAGCTGTATAAACTGAATACTGCATTTTCCTGTGCCCTGACTGAAGGACTGCTGCCCATGCCATCAGCGGCATTTTTCATGGGAGACTGCTCTGCACTGCATCTCGGTAGCCAGAGTTAGCTGCGGGTTTTCCATGGACATATACGGCATTTATCAAAGGCAGGGTATACAAAGAGCACTCTGATAATATTCCTTATTATGGAGCAATTGTCTTCACTAGGTCTCAAGCGAGTCTCCTCCTCTGTCCTCTCTTAAAGTGAGGTAGTGAGAGATTCAAATTACCCAGCCAGCAGCAGGGTGCAGAGCAGGGAGCTGTGGTACCCAACACAGTCTCAATGAAGTCCCAGGTAAGGTGATTGTCTGCACAGAGGGGATGATAACACTACATCACCGAACCCAGCCAGGCTCACAGGCCAAGGGGCACCAAATGCTTTGTGCCTGCCCTTTGGGACAGCCCAAGGTTCCTCCTGCTTCACCTGACAGAACACAGAGCACAGCACAAAGCAGAAGGGGTGGCTCAGAGCCCTCCTGCAAGTGCCACTGCAGCCACCAGAACACGGGGGACCCCAGGGGTACAGCAGCCACTGCCTGACCCCATCCCTACCACTTCTCTGGCACTGCAACTGCATTCCCACCTGACCTCAGGACGTGGTGGCAGAGCCACAGCTCCAGGCGAGTGCGGTCTGTTTGTAGTGAATGGATCAACTCCTACGGGCTGTAGAGTCTACCCAGAGAGGAGAGACCTGTCCCCATATGAAGAAACGGCCACCATAAGCACAGCACACACGAGACCCGAGCTCCCACCCCAAACCCCAGACCTGCTGGCAGCAAGTTGCCCTGCCCAGCAGCACAGCATAGCTGCACCGCAGCTCCCAGGAGAGGCTCCAAGTTCGGTGCCTGCTCTTGTGTGACATTTCCTGGGGCTGGGTGGTGTGATTGCACCGGCATTGCTACCTTGGTACAGATAACTGTACGCTGGGCATACGCCAAAGCGTGCATGACCCGGATCCCTAGGCGGGCTTTCCTCTCAGCGGGATGACCGTGTCAGAGGAGCAGCCGGCAGCGTTGCTGTCAACGCAGACAGGTCTTGCCAAGGAGTCTGGCTCCTACGTATCAATCTTTTCAGCACAAGGCTACTTGGGCCGGGAACACTATCTGACCTCCCGGAGCGTGCCAGCCAGCTTGGCGTGCACGGCTGCCAGCGCTCAGTGGCGTGTGACTGCTGTAGTTTATCGGGGTGGCAGAGAGATTTACCT